ACGTTCAAGAAAAAATCCAACGTCAACAAATAATAAGAAGGAAATTATTACGACAACCGACAAGTAATCAGTGTATAGCCCGGACAAGAGGACAGGTCGGACTGATTGACGATCAACCAGTCAACTAGAAACTGTCAACACGCTTGGTTCAACAATCAGTTTTTTCTAGGTGATCGGCCGGTCGGTCGGAGCCGATTGGTCTCCAAAATGGTGGTTGGTGGTCGGCAACGGATCAACAACAACAAACAACGGATTTTGGTGTTCAAAAAAAAAAAGGAATAGGCTCGGCCGATCGACCGACCTAACACTTGACCGGCCGACCAAGGAACAACGAAGATCACACATCAGCAACAACAACGCATATATGCCATATATATTTATTTTCAATTGGCAAAGCAAAGAAGCAGCAACATATATATTATGCTAGAGAAAAAATGGTGCATGGTGGCACTATGAAAACAAGACACATAACATATGTATAATTAAGCAAATAAAAAAGTAGCATGCCTTGTGGAATATATAAAAAGTGCCACATATATATTTGCGTTGATTTTTAGCAAAGCAAAGCATGCATGTAAATATGTTAGAGAAGAAGAAAAGAAGTGGAAAGCATACCTCGTAGCGTTGGCAAGCGGTCTGCCGGTCGGAAAGGGAGCAGGTGGTCGGATAATGCGGTGCGACGGAGCAACAAGAAGAAAGAAGAAAATAATTTTTTTCTTTGGAAAAAAAATAGGGTTTCGGTCGGACAGCATAGAAGAAGAAATTTAATAAAAGGCAAAAAAGCTAAATAGAAAGAAGAGCAAAAGGAAAGGGGAGATTTTTACCTTGCAAAATCAGAGAAAAATCTCAAGAGATCTTGATCAGTTAGCTAAGGAGGAAGTAAAAAATGAAAAAAAAAAAAAAAAAAAAAAAAAAAAAAAAAAAAAAAAAAAAAAAACTAAGGGGACTATTTATAGGAGAGTAATGGGCTTGGAAGTTGAAGGGTCAGCCAAGTTACGTGGAAGGCCCAGATTATGACACGCGTCCCTTCGTTGCACACACACCATCGGATCAAGACTTACGAAAATTTTTGAAAATTATCAAAAATTGTCCGGTAGACCGGAAGGAGCACAGCTGGACGACCCGTCACCCTACGGTAGAACGACCGGATGACACTTTGTTCGTGACAAGCTGATAGGAAGAGTAACGGAGGAAATAGTTCTCACTTCTCAAACCCGACGATTCTCGCAGATTCAAGAAGTGGGGGACTCGTGATGGGTAAATACGTACAGAAGATTGATCCGTATAGCCGGTCCGTCAATAAGTCATTCGACCGGTCCGTTGCGGTCGTCATCCCGACAGGACTAAATCACTTGTGGTCAACTGTACCGTTCGTACCGATAGGCCTCGTGACAAGAGAAGATACTCTCGGATCACCCTTGGAATCGCCCCGACGGAAAGTCTCCTGACCGGTCTACGGTAGGGTGACCGGTCGGCCTGCAAGATGACGTAGCCTACAAAGCCGAAAACGTAACTTGCACGACAAGTCTTGGGATGCAACTTGCACTTGCAGGGAGGCGATGGACAACTTGCAGGTAGGACGGCTCCGCCTCATTGATCAGTCAACCTAAGCATAGCTACAGAGCGACCGCCTGACTGAGCCAACGAGAAGACGTCACGTCGATCCACTTGCAGCAGGCGCATTAAATGTGTAGACCGACTTAGACAGTATAAATAGGAGGGTCTCCTCCTCATACCTTCATCTTCATCTCAATGTAACTACTACTCACTACATTGTAACCTGCTTGCAATCACTTAAACACTTGTAATAATACTTAGCCTCGGACCGCTCAGTCGTCGCCCGGTAGACCGACCGACCGACTAACCGACGAGCGCTCTTTTCTACTCGTTCACAAGCATACATATTCATAGTGTAACCGTAACCCCCGGTTCAATTTACGCTATCAATAGGATAACCTTAGTCTCTCCCATGTCTCCCCACCACCGTTAGTCGGGTACTCTCTAGATGACACTCCAGTTGAGGCACTCGACAAGGCCCTCCTAAATTGAGAAATCCTTATGGCACAACACAAGATGAATTTACGAAAAGCTTAATGGAGTATGCACTTTGTTACGTACTGAAATTTAGTACGCAACAGAAGAAACCTTTCGAGCATGTTTTGTCTCCAATCCGTATTCGAGTTACGGTAACTCCAAAAGAAAAACAATACAACTAAAAAAAATGAACTCTTCAATATAATTGATTTATGCATGCCTTTAACAATACATAGAATACCCTATATATACTATCTCATTTCATAAAATAATGCAACTATAATAATGGAATGACTAATTATTCTCCTAATTACCAATTACACATAAATGTTAATTATTTTTCTAATTAAATATATAAGGTAATATACATTATTCTTGTTGCATGATCATCCCCAATCAATGGCGTATCACTCATTGCCCCTTCGAAAATCACCTTTTTCCTCAAGGTTATAAGTGGTTTGTCTCTTCAGTTCTACCCAACACAAATATTCAACCCAAATTTTTGGTTGAAAAATGTCAGGAAGATTCTACATTAGGTGCAAGGTCCAACCGAACCAACACCATTTCAATATAGAGACAAATGAGAATTCCTCATTGTGTAGCCCGATAACAAAATTCATTGTATCTTGCAGTGTGCTCTCTTGGATATAAACTGGGTTTGTCATGAGGTAGATTTATTTTGTAGGAGAAACTAGTGGTACATAAATCTTTTCTGGCACACTTTTATTCTCCTTATTAGAGCTCAAACTTGTACAATTCTTCATAACAATCATTGGTTCTTCAACTGTCAATGGGATATTAGGAGGGGGTGGTGGTGATATCAATGGTGGAGGCATGTCAAAGATGTATACGTAAATTTTTGTCCATGGTTAACTCCTTGAGATCCTGAACACTTTTATCATCAACCACATTCATTGACACCTCATACTGTAGTTGATCTTTTTGCATTGTTTCCTTGAAGATATGTACATGCTTTCTCGGGCCATCAAGCTGACATTAATTGATCTTTCTCCAATTTATGAACATTATTGTGAGACGAATAATTGCTAGTGCCATGGTTAATCTCCTCAATTGATATAATCAAACTTTGCAATGTTTGATTAATGGTTTGGAGTTGGAGATTCAGATTATTAGTGTAGATAGTTTGATGATGGACGAAAACTGAGAGATTTGTTACTAACCGATTTGTCATGACGGTATGCAAACAAATTAATAAGTTGACTTCAAGAACTGTGATGAAAAAAAAAGATAATGACAAATAAAAAAATATGAATAAGGAAAAATTATGATTTTTTTTTTTGTGATTTGTTTGAGATATTTTTTTTTTGATTGATATTCGAATAAAAAAAGAAAAAAAAAAGAAAGGGATCAAACAATAGAAGAAATGTAAATGCTTGTTGCTCTTCCGTGCTTGTTTTTTTTTTTGGAGTTTTTTTTAAAAAAAAAAATTTCTAAGGGATAGATGCTGCCAAAAAAATGAAAAAAAAAATATAGAATCCATGAAAGCACCAATGTTACGTACTAAAATTTAGTACGCAAGAGAAGAAACCTTTCGAGCAGGCTTCTAGCTCCAATTCGTATTCAAGTTACGGTAACTCCAAAAGAAAAACAATACAACTAAAGAAAATGAAAAACTCTTCAATATAATTGATTTTGAGAAAATTTCAATTTTGGTCCACTGACTATTAGTGGTGTGTTAATTGCAGCACTTGACTATTAAAACTGTTAATTTAGTACCTTGACTATGCGATTTTTATCAATTTTGGTCACGCCGGCCAAATTAAGGGCGATTTCTCACCGGAAAAACGCGAGTCAACCAATTTTCCGATTTGGCAGGGGCAAAATAGGGATTTCATGTTGCTAATACGATTGGTTTCTTCGGGTTGTTGACCAAATGAGAACCCGACCCGCTATCGAAAGCATTATAACCGCCTAATTCTTCTTGCCCTACATCGAAAGTGTGTCGCTGGTTGTTGTTCCTTCCCAGACGAATCAAAGGCATTTAGAAGGAAGAGGAAGACGAAGATTGGCTCAACGTAGACGAAGGTTTCAGCGCTACGTTTCTTCTTACGTGGGTATGAGTAGTGTACATTCTTCTTCTTCTTCCACTACTGGTAATGAGTACTATGAATTTGGGGAAAGGTTCCCAATTCTCCATTGTAGATGTGGTCACCAACTCAAGATTCGAACTTCATGGACTAATGAGAATCCAGGTCGAAGATTTTGGGAGTGCTCCGGTGGTGGTGTAAGTAAATTTCATTTTTTTTTTTCAGTGTTCCTGTTGGAAAAGAATTTGATTTCGTTTTCTTTTGGTTTGTGAATTTTGTTTAAATCAGAGTCACAGGCAGGTTGGGTGTGGATTTGTGGATTGGTATGATCTTTCAATGTGCTACCGTTCGAAGCGAATAATTCTGGGATTGCTTAAACGCATAAATATAATAGAGGAAGATATAAGAACACTACATATGAAGAAGATTGAAGGTGACAAGAAGGAGGCTGGAAATGTGTTGAAGAAGATTGTAGGAATAATGCTTTTAATTTTTGTATGTTATATTGGTAGTAAGTATTGTGGCAGTGATCTTTGTAATGGCCTTTGAATTGTAGTTGTATGCAATGGCATTTGAATTGTAATGTATGAAGTTATCCATTTGGTAATGAATTGGTCATTTGGTAATGAATTGTTCATTTGCAAACTGTCATTTGGTAATGAATTGTTAATTTGCAAGCTGTCATTTTCAAAACAGGTGATTAAGTAATTGCATTTCAAATTGGTAATGAAAAGTTGCAATACACTTTGCATTTCAAAAGGCAAAAACTTAGCATTTGCATTTCAAATTCTAGTGTCAATACAGTTTCAATAGCCAAAAACCAATACAACTTAGCATTTGCATTCATAAGACAAAAACCATTACTTTTGCAATTGTCCAGTACAGTCTAAAACCCAAAAACCATAGGCTAAACTTAATTCACTCAATAATGATAGGGTCATCATTGTTTCCATAGAATTTGGACTTGGATGTGGTCTTACTCCTTGTATAGTAGGGCTTCTTCCGATTCGATTGCCTTGTCTTTGAGGCCTTGTTGTTGCCTCCTTGATCAGCAGAGTCCTCCTGCTTAATAGGAACTGAATGACTAGCTTCCTCCTGATGCTGCCTAGGCACTGGATTTGTAGGTTCCTCCTGCTGGCTAGGTTCTTGAATAGTAGCTTCCCCTTGTTGATGTTGCTGCCTAGGAACCTTTGTAGTGTTCTTGATGGGGATTTGTTTGGTGGAATAAATGACCCTTTTGTTTGGCTTCAAGTAAAACAATAACACTGTGTAAGTGCAATGCAATGCAATAAGATATGGTTTCTAGAACAATAAACTTTCAAGTAAAACAATAACAGTGTATAATACCTTTTGTTTTGGGTTTGGATTTGAAGGACATTTTCTTGAATTGTGTCCAGGTTTCTTGCAAATAGTGAAATGCAATAAGATATGCTTTCTAGAAACTTTAAAGCCATCTTCACTCAACTTTGGCTCCACTTCTCCACCAGATCTCAGTCTAAGCTTTTTTGGTCTTCCAACCCTGGCAGAATAGATAGGTGGCAGTGGGGGATCTCTGGTAATTAGTGGCCATTCATCAGGCCCTGCCATGGGGTTAATGGAGCAACTATAAATCTTCATATATGTTTCCTTGGAATAACAAGGATGGACATAATCATAGTGTGCTCCTTACCCATATTTCTTCCAAATTGAACAGATTGCATGCTTGCAAGGAATCCCAGTCAAATCTCAAACCCTACATGAACAAGTTTTCCTTTCCAGATCCACCTGATGTTGGGCCCCATATAACTGTTGCACCTCAAATTTGAAAAAGTCACATTGAGTGGCCAAACACCCTGATGCCTGCTTCTCTATTTTCTTCAATTTTCCCACAATTGATGGACATATCATTGACTTCCATTCAGCTGCTTTTTGTCTTTGCTCAAAAAACTTAGTCATTAACATTTTCCTTATAGTCTCTAGGCAGTCTATGATTGGTTGATCCCTAGCACCAAGTAATGCTGCATTGAATGACTCACATATGTTGTTTACCAACATATCACAGTGAGTGTGTGTTGAGAAGTGAGACCTACTCCACTCTGTTGGAGACTTGTGACCCAACCATTGATAAGCTGCTTCATCTAAGGCCCTAAGCTTCCGTAGTGCACTCGTATAAGAATTCCGAGTTGTTGCCCTAGCACATTCCCAAAAAGCATCCTTCAATGCCTTCCCTTGAAACCCTGCCACTTTCATGTTTGAGTGCAGGTGCCTCACACAAAACCTGTGCTCCACACCAGGTATGATTTCTTCAAATGCTGGCAGCAAACCTTTCTGCTTATCACTTATAAAAGTATACTCATGTTCTCTATCTTTTGTTATCCCCAAGTCTTCAGCTAGGAAGTTTAGAAACCAAGACCAAGACTCCCTCTTCTCCCCTTCAACAATAGCATAGGCAAGTGGGAAAATACTGTCATTAGCATCAACACCCACTGCAATCATGAGCATCCCACCAGATCCACTTCTCAAATGACATCCATCCACACCTATTAGAGGTCTACAATGTCTGAATCCTTGTTTGGAAGCATCCCAGCAAATGTACATTCTTAAGAATCTTTCCTGCCCAGTTCCCCCATCTTGCAAGTCACTGAGCTTCACTTTATACCTAGTCCTTGGGTTTGTCCTATCCATTTCAGCACAGTAGCTCCATATCTTCTTGAAGTTGTCTTCAGCATCACCAATTCTTTGTTTCTTGGCTTTCCACATAGCCCTGTAGGCTTGTTGATCACTTAAATAGAACCCCTCTTCACTTGTAACTGTATCCCTGAATTTTTTCATCATCCATTCTCAGTCCTATTCTCCAAGGACAACCATCCTGTGAACACTCAACTATAACCCTCAAAGCATCATTCCTAACAGTTCTGATATCTTTCCCATTTTTGAAACCATAATTCTGCACTGCTTCTCTAAATTGTTTCTTAGAGGCAAAGGTCATGCCTAATTTAAACTCTGGATCATTCATGTCAGTAGCTTCTCTAAAAACAGGCCATTTACTTTCCCCATCACTGTCAGATTCAACTACAGAAGCATCATCAGAAAAATTAATCCCATCCCAATCATATGAGACTATTTGACATTGTTCTTCCTGTTCTTTGGTTAACTCTGGATCAATCATGTTTAACTGTGCTTCATTCATGTTTGCCTCTGGTTCATTCATGGTTAACTCTGACTCACTCATAGATAACTCTGCCTCATTCATGGATAACTCTGCCTTGGCATCCTTATTCAAACACTCAACCTCAACCTCTAACTCACTTTCCCATTCACCCTCACACTCAACTTCATTAACTTCATCTTGAAAAAAAATCATTTTCATCCATAGTTTCTATCCAAATCTCCAACATTTTACCTTCATCATCTACTTCTCTAAGACAGTTTGCAACATCTATATCATTTTGTAGTAACTTACACATACCATGTCCACCATGATAAATGTATGCTCCTATTGAAGAATACCCTAGATCTTCAATCTTATCCTTAAAGAATTGTATACAGAGATCCTTAGCTTGCACATTGTCATATATTTCTACATCACCCCCCATGTATTTAATTTCACCTTGCCAATTAATTACACCATTATGGAAGATAAACACATGAAAAGGGCCAAGATCATCTCCTGTAAAGCAGCCACATAATAAAATAACTATATAAACAACATATAAGTTCTCCTAACTCCAATATATGCACAAAACACATCAACTAAAATAATGTCCAAATATAGACATAGTGGTCCCACATAGCTCAGCATATACACAGAACACAATAAAGCCATAAACAATTTGGTCCCCACAAAGAATAATATATCAACAGAAACATACAAACAAGATGACACAACACCCACTCAACAGTCAAATGAACACTCAACTTTAAGCTAAATTTGGTCCTCACATGTAAGTTTCTGAGCATATTTAAAGCACAATAACACCCACTGAACACTGAACTGAACAATCAACTTTAATCTACAAATTGGTCCCCACATGTAAGTTACTGAGCATATTTAAAGCACACCAACACCCCCTGCCAAATTCAGACGACTTAAGTAAAGTAATCTGAAATACTTACCACTGACAGCCATTAAAGTTCCTGGTATGCAGCGCGAGTAAATAGAGACTGGTTCACTTCACTGTAGCGCGAGTAAATGGAGCTTTCTTCCTTTGTCGATGGAGTCTGATTCTCTTCACTGGAGCTTTCTCTGAACTGAGCGTTTTCTTCACTGGAGCTTTCTTCCTTCATCGAATGAATTAGGTTTCACATGTGGGTAATCGACTCAATTAGAATTAGGCGGGTAGAATGCTTTCAATAGCGGGTCGGGTTCTCATTTGGTCAACAACCCGAAGAAACCAATCGTATTAGCAACATGAAATCCCTATTTTGCCCCTGCCAAATCGGAGAATTGGTTGACTCGCGTTTTTCCGGTGAGAAATTGCCCTTAATTTGGCCGGCGTGACCAAAATTGATAAAAATCGCATAGTCAAGGTACTAAATTAACAGTTTTAATAGTCAAGTGCTGCAATTAACACACCACTAATAGTTAGTGGACCAAAATTGAAATTTTCTCTTGATTTATGCATATATGCCTTTAACATTACATAGAATACCATATATATACTATCTCATTTCCTAAAATAATGCATTTATAATAATGGAATGACTAATTATCTTCCTAATTACCAATTACACATAAATTCTAATTATTTTCCTAATTACATATATAAGGTAATGTACATTATTTTTGCTGCAAGGTCATCGACAATCAATGGCGTATCATTCTTGCTCTATTAGTTTTATTCGTAGATCAGCGAACTAGTTGCCTCATGCTTTTGGCTAAGACAGTTGGCTATCAGTCTGATCCTTTGATATGAAAATAATCCCCTCTTGATTGTATTTTACATTTAGGGTGCGTTTGGAAACCCGGAAAATGACTTCTGACAATTTGTTTTCCGAGTTTTCCGTGTTTGGCAAGAGGGAGGAAAATGAGGTCAACAGAAAATGATGTTGTAGTCAATGAAAAATAAGTATGTTTGGGGGGAAAATGACTTCCCCTTTTTTTGGGGGGAAGTTATTTTCCAATCCTTATGCTTGGTATGTATAGTATATAGTTTGTGTGTGTATAGTATATAGTTTGTGTGTGTGATATAGATACACTATACTGTGTATATATATAGATACATACTGTGTATATTGTGTGTGTGTGTGTGTTTATATATATATATATACACACAGCATATATATATATATATATATATATATATATATATATATATATATATATATATATATATATATAGCGTATATATATTGTATACTGTGTACTCTACTGTATATATAGCATATATATATATTGTATACTGTGTACACTGTGTGTATATACTGTATACACTATCATGGCCGGATTTTAGGTTGTGCAAGCTGGGATACCGCACAGGGCCCCCAATTTTAGAGGGGCCCCAAATTTTAGAGGTCCAATATTTAATTTTTATCTAGCTAGTTAAGAAATAAAAACTAAAAGTTTTCAATTATTTTTAAAAGGTTTTATGAAGATATGGTAGAAATGTGTATTATTCTATTTTTACTTGGAGGTCAAATGTTCGAAACTTGCATGTATTAATTTTAAAAATTATGATTTTGGTAGGGCCTTATTTATTTATCAGAACACGGCCACAAAAAAAAAAAAAAAAAAAAAAACTAAAATCCGGCCCTGTACACTATGTGTATATATACTGTGTACAGTGTATGTATATACTGTGTACACTGTGTGTGTATATACTATGTACACTGTATGTATATGTATATGTATGTGTGTGTACTGTGTGTGTAGTATATATATACTGTATATATATGTGTAGTATATATATACTTTAATTATATATATATATATATATATATATATATATATATATATATATATATATATATATACTGTACTGTGTGTGCAGTATATATATACTGTATATATGAATGAAAATAGAGTGAAATCTCAAAGTGAGAGGCTCATAGTGCACAGTAAGCAAAGGTCTAACCTCTGTGGTTCATGTTCAATTGAGTTACCATGATTTATATCCTCCTAGATGCTCTGTCGGGCTGGGCTGTGGGAGGCCCTTAGGGATGAGGTTTAACCTTTTGGAAGAAAATAGAGTGAAATAAACTCTACGGTGTGAACGAGAGGTTATACAAATGACATGTGTAAAGTAATATATATATATATATATATATATATATATATATATATATATATATATATATATATATATATATATAATTACATTCATGTAAAAACAGCGCTTAAAATACAAACGTGTGAACATTTCTGGATCGTTGGATTTTGGATATCTAAGGTTGTGATTAGTTGTTATGTTTTTTGTGTGTTGTGTCCGCCTGTGTGCACTGTCGTTCATGGATGTATGCACACTGGCCCAAATACTATTGATTCACACATACATACTACAGATGTGTGCACACCCACATGTAGGTGTGTGCACTATCGTCCACAGATGTGTGCACACCCGCATTTAGGTGTGTGCACAGTATATGTCCATATGTTTGTATTTGAAGGGTGTTTGCATGTGAATGCAACCCTATATATATATATATATATATATATATATATATATATATATATATATATATATATATATATATATATATATACACACATATATAGCACATTAGCACACGATCGAATACAATAACAAAACAACTAGTCACCAAGTTTAAGAGATAATTTGATTTAAAGTTGTGACCTCCCATTTGAGAGAGATACAAGAATGTAATGGAATTATAAGTTATCTGGCAAATAAATCATAAATTTAAACACAAGATCAAATAAAAAAGGCAATTAATAAAATTAAAGTAAGGTCCAAGTAAGGAAACATAATCTTCTACATACAATATAAGCTATTAGGTTGAGGGTAAATCACCAACAAGAGAAATGAATGAAATTTACAAAAGAATCTTAGTTTAAATGTCACTAAACAAGGCATAGGACTAGGAATTAGCCTACTTTCGTAATTCACCAATTCCAAGTTCTTTAAGTACAACTAACATCGAAACACCTTATTTATCATATTTTCATAGTGGGAAATATTGTTTATGCAATGAGTGCACTACAAGAAAAATGCATATAGACAATACTAGAATGCAATAGTTTTAGTTTAAAGTATTGTCTTTTATATATAAGACAACACTTTTAGAAAATTTGTTTTCTTTGATAAAACATTTTTTGTTCAAAGGCAATGGTTTTGAATTTTGATCCATCCGTTATCTTTGATGTGTCGTCTTTAAGCAAAATTTGATATTCTGAACATAGGCACCACTTCAACGACAAAAAATCATTGTCTTTGAGTGTACATTTTTTTTCAAATACAACAATTTTTATTCATCCGTTGTATTTGGTGTGTCATTTTTAAGCGAAATTTGATATTTTCTAAAATAGACAACACTTTAGCAACGGCTTTAAAAAACTATTGTGTTTGAGCATACATTTAAAAAAAAAAAAAAAAAAAAAGTTTTGAAAATGTCTTTGGTGTGTTATCTTTAAGCAAAATTTGATATTTTTTAAATAGACAACACTTCAACGATAAAAAATCATTATCTTTGAGCTTACATTTTTTTTATTACAAAAACAACGATTTTTTATCCATCCATTGTCTTTAAGGTGACAACTTGGATCAATACATTGTCTTTGGTGTGCTGTCTTTAAGCAAAAT